CGCCCACACTGACATACGATAAAAGAATCGGTGGTCACATACCACGAGGCTAGAAAAAAATATTTCCTTTTTCCGAATTGGACACGAAGCGAACCCCACTCATCAGCCCTCGCAAGAACGTAATTACAACCAAGTTGATAAAGTGTATTAAGAACTTGTATTTAAAGCTGGCGACATTCGGGGAGTCGATACTCACCCGAGTGAAATCGACTGCGTCCAAGCAAATATAAGGAAAAAGGCTGACTGTAAAAAGCCTTTTTTTCTTGTATCGAGTTAATAGAAGCAAAAATTGCCGTCACATTCCATCCGGCAAATCCTCAGCCATGTTGTTGCGTAGAATAAAGAGTTGTGAGCATCAAATCTGGACTATTCATTTGACAGCAATTGAGTCACCATAAGCCGGTAATACAAAATCTTTACACGTAAGTCAGCCACTTTCTTGCCACCATCCATTGGAAAAGAGCTATCCATCAACCGTAAATAAAAATTCCTGTTTGGACCGACAAACTAAGGTCAAGCAAATCATTGGCACCCAACTAAACGGGTGAAAAAGAATAAGCTTTTGTTGAACATAACCACACTTAAGCCCGGCATAAAATAGCCGCGTGCTCAGCTGGGGGAATATAGCAAGTTCATCATCGAATCAATTTAATACATCATAAAATTAGATTTAAGGAAAAACTAAAATCTTTTAGTCGTTTTTCTCATTTTGTTGGTCACAAAATAGTACGTCGGTGTACCATACAACATCGAGTTTAATAGATTTGTGATAAATTTTTTCTTTTAGAAATTTCGCTATTATAAATCATCATTGAGATTGAATCAAATAATTATCTTTTGAAATCATAATCACTGTAAATCAATATCGTCCTCAGTCTTCACACGGCATGATTTAATTGATTTTTGTTGGAGCTCGTTTTCAATCAAAATTTGTGTGGATATTTTGATTATTTAATTCCGCGGGGGTGAATGGTGATCGATCTGCGATGCGAACACCATTGATCAGCAGTCATAACCATTCTCGTTCAGTTCAGTTCGCCAATTCTGAAAAGCAAGTTAATTAAATTTTTTAATCAAGTAACACCACACATCGACGGTCAAGATTTTTGAACCGATCATTTTTCTTTTCGTCTTTCGGTATAAGTTCAAGCAACGTAACCGATAACACGGTCAATATTAATTGAACCAAACTATTATTTTTTCTTTATTTTTGTAATTTCTTTGGGTATTCATTCCCAATAAAAATTGAAACTCGTATCAAAGTAATCTCGTTTAACATTCTCAAACTGCGGAGCATCTGCCAATCCAAACCCTGATGGAAATAATAGAGAAAATAAAAGCCAATAATAAAAAACTGTTGAAGAAGAAGTATGAAAGGTTGAACAAGAAACTCGTTAACTTGAGGACGAAGCAAAGCAACCACAAAATCATGAAAGATGCAGAACAGAAATTCCACTCCCGATTTGTAAACTTGACGGAGGTTTACATCAATGAGCAAGATGCAGAACTATTAAAAAAAGGCCTCAAACACAACATTGAAAGTTACAACCGAAAGAGGGAACTTGAACAAACTATCGCGGATACTGAAGTTATTATATCACGGCTTCCAACTGAAGAACAGGAGCACACATATGTCGGCACATAATTGAAAAAGACATAAATGCCAAGAAAACTAGGAAGCAGAAGAACGAAAACCAAACCATAAAAGGGCTCAAAGAAAAGCTAAGGGCAAACAATGTTATAACCACAAAAGCAGACAAAGGCAATACCACCGTATTAATTGATAAAAAAGATTACATAGAGAAAACTGAAAATCTAATAACTGAAATAGGGTGCAATAAATTGGGAAAAGATCCCACTGAAGAATACCAAGCAGCAATAAAGAATACCATAAAGAAAAGCACAACCATAATAAAGGATAATCTACCATATAGATTAACACTTATGAACTCGAGTGTCCCTCCGTTGATTGCCTTGCCGAAGACACACAAACCAGGCACCCCGATGAGACCTATTATTAAATACAAGTCTGCTCCCGGATACAGGCTCTCCAAGCACCTAAAGACGCTGCTGAAGGATAGCCTGGATCTACGCAATAAATATACTATTACAAATACAACGGAACTAATCGAGAAGATGAAATCGTTGAAGATCAACGAAAACACTAAATTCGTATCATTCGACATCAAGGACCTTTACCCATCGATACCAATAATAGAAACACTAAAGACCGTACAAGAAATACTGATGGGAAAAATGAAAAGAGAAGCTGTCACGGAAATAATAAACGCGTTGAAGGTTACATTAAAACAAAACTACTTCCGGTTCAACAATACGATATATAAACAGATTAACGGGTTAGGAATGGGAAATCCGACGTCAGCAATACTCATGGAAGTATTCATGCAAACACTGGAAGAGAAATACATGGAAAACCTATCGACCAATCTAGGAGTAAAATTCTACGCGAGATATGTCGATGATGTAATATGTCTAATAGAGGGAAACAAAGAGAACCAGATACTAGACTATCTCAACAAACAACACCAGAATATAAGATTCACCATGGAAACGGAAGAGGAAAGAAAGATTAACTATCTGGATTTAACAATTAAAATAAACGATACCACGAACGAGATAGAGTTCGAAATATACAGAAAACCAACAGCCACAGACGCAGTTATACACAATAGCTCAAACCACCCACAGCAACAAAAAAATGCAGCATTTAGACAACTAATAACGAGGCTTGAAAGGACCCCTCTAATAGAAGAATGCTACAAGAAGGAACTGGATACAATATATGCCATTGCGGAAAATAAGGGATATAGGAGAGGCCTGGTGGAGAAGTTAAGAAAGGACACAAAATCGAAAAAGACTAGCAAAGAGGAAAACAATAAAAAAAACTTGGGCAGTTCTAACTTACACAGGAAAGACATCTTACAAACGTGCCAAATTCTTTCATAAGTACGACATTCAGACATCATTTAAAACAAGGAACACAGTGGGAAATATATTGAAAGAGAAAATAAGCGAGGAAGACCCGCTAGATAAACAGGGTGTTTACAAGTTAACCTGCGAGTGCCGACACAGTTACATAGGACAAACAGGGCGAAATATAAGAACAAGGTATCGAGAACACATAAGGGATTATAATAAGAAAAAACGAAAACCAGAGGCTGCAATAGAATCGAACTTCGCGAATCACATGATCAAAAATAAATGCACACCAATGAAGATTGGACAAACAACAATACATTGGACAGAACATAACTGTTTGAACCTCTAAAACTACTGTACAAGAAGAAGAATGACAACAACAAAATATTAAGGACAGATATGGAAGGGAACACACCAACTGCAAAAACAAAGGGGGTAAAAATCACGGATTTCTACCTGCCGTCGAAAACGAGCCAAAACAATTCATCTACCTATTGAGTACCGCAAACACTGCAAAACTAAAAAGACGTACCTAACAAAAGAAAGAGGTAGTTAACAAGGAGTATAAATACGAGCAACCAACAAAAATTATGCAGAACGAAAAATGACACTGAAGATGGCACAACGCCGAAACCGGTTTGTCTCCAAACCAAATTTGACAAGGGATGACGGAAATTCGTTCCATAATACATCATTCTCAAACTGGTTGAATATTCTCAGTCTGATTTGGTCTTCCGGTAAATTCGGGGGTGGAAGGAGATACAGGTAATACTCCCAAGTATTCAAGGCCTTCGCTGCATCCCGGGAGCAAACAACTTGGCCCATAAAAAGATTCGAGGTAGTGCGTTAAACGCCATTCTCAGCCCACGTTCGGTATAATATTAAACAAAATTTTGGACCGAAAATCACATGAGATATACACCCAATTGAGCGTGAATTTTTTGTTAAACTAATTAGATGTAAAGCAATATTCAAATAGTGATCGATTTATGCGGCATTATTTTTGAAAGTGGATATTCAAAACGACATACTCATAGAATAAAATAATATTAAATAATAAACTGAAGTAAATCTGTACTGATTTTAAATCGAGTACCATCATCTTATAACATAGACTTTAATAGTACGGACTTTACGTCTACCATTGGCAGAATTTTTTTAATAATCGGAATTTACAACTTGGTGTTTGAGTCTTTGAACATGGAATTGTTTCCCATTCTCGATGCAACTTATTTTACAGACGAACAGCGACAGATCGAAAAGGAGATATATAACCTATATCCAGCGCCGGTTCAATGGACCGACACCGAAATAGCCGCCCTCAATGCTAAAATATCTGCTTACGTTGGCAAAACAGGTGGACCCTCCGCATGGTTTTTTGGGTGGTCCTGCAACCTTACAAGTTTAAACGATCAATACCTATCGTGGTGTTAGAACGTCTCATACCCAAGAACCAATTAATCAACCATCTCATTTATATCCGAATTATTCGCTGTCCGCTCCACCACAATCACGACCAAATCAAGCCACTATGTTCGACGAATCTGCCCAAGCGGATGCAATGGATACGAAATTCAGAGGCGTACCATCATAGATGGGATGTGCTCAATTCGATAGCGTTCATGTGAACGAAAAATTTCTATCGGTTGAAGATTATTTGGCTATTATTGGCTCATTTCGATATAAGATTGGAGTACCCGACCATGAATTGGTAACGCGTTCGGTACCCACACTCACGGGGGCCGCTCGACAATGGTACTTCACCGAACTGAGAAACTTCGGAGATTATAAAGATTTTTCCACGAAACTTCGTGCTTGTTTGCTCAACAAAAACATTCTCGAGCCCAAGTAATAATGTCATATGCACAAATTAAATCCGATCCATGTTCGCAAACACTGCTGAAACATATCGATGACTTGACATTCCAATTGCAGGGTAATTCCTGTGGTCTTGATAAACGGGACCACCTCGATGTCATCATTGGTACCTTATCCGATCATCTGCGTGAACTCGTCCACACTTGACAAGTCCACACGTTGGTGCAATTGCGTGAGTTCGCTCAGCGAATTGCACCACATTCGGTCATTGTTGCCACACCCCGTCCGGAAAGAACCCGTTCGGATAGACAGCGATCAGCGCCACGGGAAATTTCGGCAATACATGATTCACCGGATGAGTCTTCACATTCGGAATACACCGCTTCGTTTCCTGGCTCCGACTCCGATGACAGGGAATGTGCATACGTTAACAAGCAAAATAAACCAATTAAAGCATCTCAGAAACGTAGGTATTCGAAACCAGTCGAGGATTATAAAAACGACAAAAATCCAAAAGGGAATGATATGAAAGTAGGAACTATCGTCGACCCATTTCTCGCTGTTGAGGGCGACGAAAATGTACGATGTGCAAAATGTCTCATGTGGGGCCATCACTTCAAAAAGTGTCGAACCCAACTGAATAGGGTGATCTGCTACAAATGCACACGACCAGGGGTTACGTCTGATCAATTCCCGTGTTCAAAAAACGCGTGAGGGAGTCGATTGGGAATAGTGGTCCATCGTACTCAGAATCCACAAACTTTTCTAAATCCACTGTCTCTAACAATCCTCATTCGACCGAAGTCCCTCTACAAATCGACAAATCTTCAGTACCGAATTCCAATAATAATTATACTCTGATTCTTAATGAATCTAATCAAACTCAAAGGGATGGCAAAGAATTATCAACTAAATGTTCTGAACGAACACTACCAATTACCACACCTACTTCAGCTCCAGTCCCTACTCACCTGCATGACGCAGTCAATCAAGTTACCCAACCACGACTCCGCGAGGTTTTCTTTATCTCAGAGAAATGTTTGACACATAACATTCCGACCGATTGTCGCGATTATCTCACGGTCATGGTTAACAACCATTCTCATACGGTTTTTCTCGATGGTGTAGCCGAAGTCACGGTAATTTCACAAACATTTTATGAGAAGTACAGATGGGGGCACTTGCAACCTACCAAAACCTCTATTAGTCTTGCCGATAATTCGATTTCTTTTAAGGCCATTGGTAAAGTGGATGTATTATATACGGTCGGTAGTCTTACCCGACTGGTGCCAACTCTTGGCGTATCTATCTCACTGAAACACCCAATTATGGGACGGACATTCCTTGAGGCCTTCTTGAAGAAGTTGTATCCGCTAAAGTCGAAATTGTTACGGCGGATAAATTTATTAATTTTTATAACCAGCCACCAGGGAGTGGGAAAGAACAAGCTCAGGTATCTTCTATGATCTGGAGCCAATTGACGCTTCCACACTCGGTTTAGAATGTGAACTAGATACCCCAAAAATAACGAGCGTCAACCTTCCACATAATCTCACCCCAGATCAAAGACAAATGTTGGACGCCGTTCTCAAACTTTTTAATCCAACTCCTAAGTCTGGCCCTTTAAATGTCACTAATCAGATCGAACACGTAATTGATACGGGTGATGCAAAACCCGTCATGAAACGCCAGTATTCAACAACAAGTTCAAGCCGAATTGGATAAAATGCGTAGTCGTGATATCATTATGACCATCGACGAAAGCCCTTGGCGGTCACCAATTCTGGCTGTAAAGAAGAAAGATGGAACGTGTCGCGTGTGCTTGGACGCAAGAGAATTGAATAAAATCACCGTTCCAAATGCCTATCCAATTACGGATACTAATCAAATTTTAGCTCGACTAAAATCAGCAAAATACCTAACCAGTATTGATCTGTCTCTAGCTTTCTTTCAAATTCCTTTGGCAAAATCGAGTCAACTGAAAACCGCTTTTGCATTCGGTAACAGACTTTACGCTTTTCGCCGCACGACGATGGGGTGCACATTAGCCATTCTCATTGATAAAATTTTCCGTGATTTGGTTCCACATGCATTCGCATATGTGGCTGATTTCATAATTTACACTTCGACGTTTGAAGAACAAGTTAAGATATTGGCTATCGTTGCAAAACGTCTGGCTAGGGGCGGCTTAACCATCTCAACATCCAAATCGAATTTTTGTTGTAAACGATTGGAATTCCTGGGCTACGTTTTGTCTCAAGAAGGTTTATCCGCGAATCCATCTCGTATTCGAGCGTTTGTTGAATTTGCACGGCCCAACACGGCAAAAGAAGTCAGACGGTTCGTTGGTGCAGCAGGCTAGTACCGAAAATTTATTCCAAATTTTTCGGAGATCACAGCTCCCCTTTGTGAATTGTATAAAGGAAACCGAAAAGGACCCATTGAATGGAATACCGCTGCTGAACAAGCCTTTCTCAAACTCAAAGAGTGTTTAACTACCACTCCCGTTCTGACTATGGCCGATTATTCAAAACCATTCAAGGTCTACACCGATGCCTCGCTTATCGCAGCGGGTGGTGTTTTAGTACAAGAACACGATGGGAACGAACGTGTGGTTCAGTATTTTTTTAAGAAATTCTCGAAAGCCGCACAAAATTACACAGCATCTGAACAGGAATGCCTAGCCGTTCTCTTAGCAGCCGAAAAGTTTCGTCCATATTTTGAGGGTCGTGAATTGGTTGTGGTAACGGACCATGCTTTGCGCTGGCTACAAACTCTCAAGGAACCAACTGGCCGTTTATGCCGTTGGGCGATCCGATTATCACCATACGATCTCAAAATTATTCATAAACCAGGAAAACATTTAGAACTTCCTAACGCCTTATCTCGTTCTTTTGCTCTTCTCAACATCGTTCGTAGAAATCCAATTGACCTTCCGAGTAATTTTCACGTTAATCGTATCCCAATCACATCCGTGATCAACATTGACCCAAACACGTGCGATAAATGGTACAACAAAATGCATGCCATGGCCTCAAAACCACCATTAGATAGATATAAAATCGAGAACAACCTTCTATATCATCGATTGAAATTTTCCAATTAAAGTGCGGAAATACTGTGGACACTTTGTGTACCATCTTCTGACAGAGCAAAAGTCCTCAATGAAAAGCATAACCAATATTCGCATTAGGGTGTTTGAAAAACTTATAGACGTATCTCACAACGCTATTACTGGCCAAACATGTATGAGTCCGTTTACCAGTACGTTCGGCAATGTGAACTATGCGACCGCATTAAACCAAGTAATGGGAGCATCAAAACACCTCACGGCGAATATAGAGAACCAAAACGACCGGGTAGGCAATTATCGATTGACTTCATCGGTAAGCTGCCCATGTCTAAACATCGTAACCAATGGATCTTCGTAGCCATCGACTGTTACTCGCGATATGTCTGGGCGCAGCCCATGACAAATGCAAACGCCATATCCGTAGTCCATTATCTTCGACATATATTCACGGTGAACGGCTGCCCCGAACTCATTATATCAGATAATGGTACTCAATTCATCAGTCAAACTTTCGCAAAGCTTTGCGCCGATTATAACATCAAACACATGAAAACGCCTATGTACCATCCACAAGCCAATCAGGTCGAGGCGACAAACAAAAGCATTAAACTTGGATTACGTACTCACATGGCTGACCTTCTTGAACATTCCTCCTCGGAAAACCATCTTTCTCGTGTTATTCATAACATTAATACTTCAGTACATTCAGCCACGGGCTACACGCCATATTTCCTGCACACTGGTCGTGAATAATGTGAAAGATGGAAACGAATATAAATTATTATTGGATGTAAATCCATACCAAACACAGGATGTGGAACAGCGTAAAGTTCTGTATGATGAAATTCGAGATAAACAGTTCGAACAATATCAACAAACCGCACAACGGGCATTGACCCGCAAAAGAGAACGCCATTTCGAAATGGGCTCGGAAGTGTACATGCTCAGCCCAAACAGTCCGTGGCCGGAGAGGGCTATGCACAAAAACTAGCCCCGCCAAAAATTAGAGCCTATGTTTCACGGAAACTTGGTTCGAATTCATATGAACTGATCGATGCTAAACGCCGAGTGCTTGGCAATTATTCCGCCGATTTAATCACAACACGTTAACTCATTCAGTACATTCGCCTTCTCAAGAATTTCGATGAATATATGGCGGGCCTCCATACTCCATTGATTCTGCTTTATTACAGGGTAGCCGGCTTGAATAAATTAATTAAGTTTAGTTTTGTTATATCCATAGTTTTGTTATATTATATCCTCAGTACATTGCTAGTAAATCGATCAAAGCAAATAAGAAAAGATTCATAACCAAATCATTTACCAATGCCTTTCATCTACCGTAGCTTATGTAATGCGTACTGAAACTAAATAGTAAAGACGGAACATGTGTACATACATATGCGCGCAATGGCGAACTGAAGGAGTCAGGATGGGGTTGACGAAGATCATGTAGAACGATTTCGATATAAGGGGTCTCACGTCCAGGCCGTGAATTCGCATTCTCATATCCCTATTAAACGCTCCACAGGTTTTTTTGTTAACGTGTCGCTGAAGATGAGAGGGGGATAATGATCTATTATTTTTATTGGCCAAATAATAGACATAAGAACGATTATGAGAAATGTAAACATAACAAAACTGTCAAAGCTAAACTTCAGCACTGACATACGATAAACGAATCGGTGGTCACATACCACGGGGCTAGAAAAATATATTTCCTTTTTCCGAATTGGACACGGAGCGAACCCCACTCCTCAGCCCTCGCAAGAACGGAATTACAACCAAGTAATTAAAGTGTATTAAGCAGGGACGTGAACCGGTTTTGAACCGGAAAACCGCTTTTTTCTATTAATTAACTGAACCCTTAACCGAACCGAAATTTTCCACAAATGGTTGATCCGAACCGAAAACCGAACCACTTTCCTAAAAGTATAAAGGTTCATTTCAACCTATTTTCAATAGATAAATGTACCCACTTTTTTTCTTTTTGTTAAACCTACCATGTTTTTTAGCATGTGACAATATCAAATGTAAAGGTACTTGACACTTAAACTTGCGCGTTATTTTTTTTTTGTTTTTCGAACCGTTGAACCGAACCGAAACCCCGGTTCAGAGACCAAAAAAACCGCTTTGAGGAACCAATCCAAAAGTGCAAAAACGGTTCGAACCGCTTAGCCGAACCGACCAAATCTTTCATCCGGTTCACGTCCGTGGTATTAAGAGCTTGTATTTAAAGCTGGCGACATTCCGGGAGCCGATACTAACCCCTCAGTGGAAAGTGGAAAGTGAAATCGACTGCGTCCAAGCAAATATAAGGAAAAAGGC